TAATAAATATTTTTCAACTATTAATCCGAAATATCTAAATATCCAATTTCAATTTCAAAATCTCAAAATAACAATAACTTCAAGATATCTATATAATAGTAATAAATTACTAGATGACTTTAACAACAATAATTCTAATGAAACATTACCACCACCATCATCGTCACCAGATAATGGAAAATTTACAATTTCTACTGAAAGTGAAAAAACCCAACAACAAACGAAATCAGATTTAGAATCTTTATTGTTTCCTTCCGCCTCTTCTCTTCATCAGCCTCGCCCGTCTCGTTTTCAAGTATACTTAAAGAGCATAGTAGATTAAGCACTAATACGATAACACCATCATCCCCTTCTTACATGTTGAGACAATGGGATAGAGCGCCAGGAAAATTGACAGATTCCAACATCAGCAGGATTCTTAATCCAAGCATGATGCAACAAATCGTTTCATAAGGATCGACGGATTGGCAAGCACTGTAATTACTAAAAATATTTTGTTTTTGTCAAGTGAAGTAAACGGATATCAAAAAAGTATTGATGATGGTAAGATATTTTTTGCATATTATTTAGATTACAATTATAGATTAATTGCATATTATTATGAGCCACTTAATACATCAATCAAAGTTTTAATGCTTCGTAATCGCATTTTCAATTTCAATGGATCAGTAATTGTTCGATTCAAAAGTATTACGTTTGCAGAAAACTTTATATATATACGCACCAACTGAATTTTTTTAAGTGGTGGAGGTCAATTGAAAATGAATTTATTATACGTAAATTAAAATTAAAGCTTACCGCCTTATGATAATTATTATTATGATTATTATAATTACAGTTGAAAGCACAAGACTTTGGTTATGAGGAAATGCTAAATCAATTGAAAATGTATAAAAAAAGTACTATTATGAAATTTGGTCCGAATCAAGGAAAAAGTGTCATAATTACAGGAATTCCAAAGGACATTAATTGGATAATTAGATCAAAAATTTTATCTGATTTTCCCTTCACTTAGAAATGAGGAATATATTTTTCCTTTGCCAAAGTAAGTTTTCATTATTGTAATTATGAATTTATTTTGAATTAATTATTGTTACACAAAATTTACTCAACTACCTCGAGATTTCTTGTTAAATTGAAATTGGATATTTAGATATTTCGGATTAATAGTTGAAAAATATTTATTAAACATTATTTTTTAAAGAAAAATTTAATCGAGATGAATTGTGAATATCTTCAGCCAATCAAATTACACACAGTGTATAACGAAAGCTTGAATTGTTTCCACGTTATTTTCATGTTCTCAAGATCCCGGTCAAGACAGCTCAAGCCGACTCGAAATTTAGTATTTATTTATTGTGCCAACAATATATAATTTTTTTTTAAAAAAAAAAAAGACCTCACACTGTGATTGAACTTCAAACTTTAACAAAGTAGATAAATTCTTATTAATCCGAACTTGATTTTTTTCCTCTTCCTCTCTTTTGAATTTTTATTTGTGAGGCACAGTTCTTTGCAGATCAA